TTATAGTAATCCTACAAAGAGCCTTAATTTCATGACTAATGAGGGAAGGGTCCCAACTGTCCAATCGCTTTTGAGCTGAGACTATGTGCATTATGTAGATCCAAATGAGTTATGAATACCCTGAAAAAAGTTCGGGCCACTAGCCTATTGCTACGGAGATAGTGTACTTTTACAGTATTCTTTAAAAATAAATGCCGTGGTCCCCCTCAGGAACACCAGAAAAACTGATTTTCGAATTTCGATTTGAAACTTTGGATAGAGACAGACCTTAATCAGAATAGTTTATTCTGAATGTTTCTAAGATTTTTTCATCTGCTTCTATCCTAAAATAAGAACATCAAATCTGCCAGTTTATATAGACAAGTTATTCATAATTGTATCCTAGGATAGAAAGGGCGAAAAAATCTAAAATATTCACAGCAAACTATTCTCATTAAGATCTGTCTCTATCCAAAGTTTCAAGTCGAAATTCGAAAATCAGTTTTTCTGGTGTCCCTGAGGGGGACCACGGCATTTATTTAAAAATACTGTAAAAGTGCACTATCTTCGTAGCAATAAGCTAGCGGCCCGAACTGTTTTCAGGGTATTCATAACTCATTTGGGTCTACATAATGCACATAGTCTCGGCTCAAAAGCGATTGGACAGTTGGATATCGGCACGGCCAGCCATCGGTCCCCTTCGTTGGGGAAGGTTCGAAATCAGTAAGATTCAGAAAAAAAAGTTTGTTATAGAGAGTGTGATCTTGAAATATTATTAAGTTTGTTCCGTATTCCGAGTTACACAGCTGACATATAAAACCAATATCATTTTTCTTTCCTACGAGTTTAAAAACACGAATAATTACGAAATTTCACTGTTTTTTCACTTTTTAACCTTTCATTTTTGTCAAAATAATGAATGGAATTTTCAATGAAATTTTCAAAAGAAGATGAAAATAAACTAATCGATTTATATAAAACAATATTCTTAATCGTTATGGAACAAAAAAGGTTAGATTAAACAGGTAAAATTATCATAAAAATGGCACTAAACTGTCCTCCGTGGAAAAAGAGAAAATTGGTGAAATTCCATAACATTTGAAATTCCGTAACGCTCAGCCTTTTAAGTTAGCTTACTCGAAGGGATTGTCCTAAGGCGAAAATGATATGATATTCTAAGAGTATGTGAAAAACTGAACAACTTTTGTATAGAACGTTCATTTATGAGTAGCTTAGTTTCGTATAAAAATGCTAAAATGTGAGTCATCCCTAAAAATTTTGTCCATTTTTTGAAATTCCGTAACGAACGATATTTTTCAAATAATTTCGCCATGGCTTGTGATAACTCCATGAGATTTTCAGTACTCACAGAGCTAGTTTACCTTTATGTATGCCCAAAATTTCAGAAGCATTTCTCTTGTTATTGAGAAGATATTTATCTCACAAGTTGAAAAAATGAAATTCCGTAACGCTTGGCCGTGCCGATATGTTCCCTCGTAAGTCTGTTACAGACTTTTGATAATCTCATAATGACATTTACTATACGTGTATGATGAAATGTTACTAAGATATGTGACATGAGAAGATGATTGAAGGTTCTATTACTATACTTTTTTTGTTTTGTTTTAGAGTATATGCATCTTGTCTTCTTGATGAAAATGGTGTTATTACTAATTCTGGTCCAACATATATATCAGTTCGTTCAGCAAAACATGATCGAATAAATATTGATTGTGAAGAAATTGATTTTGATCAAGTTGTTAAATTAAAAGAATTTGAACGAACAGCACGTAATCATATTGGTGAAGTTAAACCAGTTATTATTATGAATATTGATAGTATTAATCCAATGGATTATACACGTTTTCGAAAAACTCTTTATTTATCAATAAAAAAATTTAAAAAATATAATTTAGATGCTTTTATTCTTATTACACAAGCACCAGGTCAAACAGCATTTAATATTGTTGAACGACGTTTAGCATTATTATCACATGATTTATCAGGTTTAGTTTTACCAGATAATTATTTTGGTACACATTTAAATATAAGTGGTTTAACAATTGATGCTGAAGTAGAAAAAATGAATTTTAAAAAAACCGGTGAAGCACTTGCTGAAGTATGGAATATGAATATGATTGATCGTTGTCAAGTTGTTACTGAATATATTGATCCACCAACATCATCTGATGATATAGTTCGATTTATTGATACAAAATTTACTTTAGATTCTATTATTGATGAGTAAGAATTTAAGAAAAAAAAAATTCAATTATAATAACAATTCTTTTTTTTTGTTTTTCTTTGTTTCTATTTAGAATTTGTGATGAAGATGAAGAAATTCCACTTCATCAACGTATTCAACGTTCTCGTCCAGCTTTTTATCCAGATACAAATACAGATACAAAACCTACACCTGTTTATGATATTGATGAGTACGATAAATTTAAAAAAAAACAACAACAATCGAATACATGACTATGGTTGTTTTTTGTTTTTGTCTTTTTAGATATTGGTGTGCAACACATGTTTTTCAAACTCAATATACAATACAAATAATTCGTTGTACTAAAACAGAATGTTGTGGTCCATGGCGTTCAAATTATATTCAAGTATTTCCTCATCGATTTCTTCCACCACCTGTACCATTTCATCGTTCATCACGTGGTGTTCGATTAGAAAAAATTGAAGCAACATTTGCTAATCGATATTCAATATCATCATATTATGGTACATTATTTCAACGTATACAATTTCATGGTATTGTTATGCGTGGAACACAAAATCAATTATTACAATTTGATGCTTTTTGTCCATCAATTCAAAATAAAATTTATTCACGTACATGTACAATTTGTAAACAATATATTCCATCACCAACACGTTTACGTAATCATTATAAAGTTCATCAACAACGATATGGATTAAAATGTACGGATTATAATAATAATAAAGAAGAAGAAATAATTGATGATGATGATCCTATTGATCCAAGTGATTTACCATTAGCACCAATAAATATAAGTCAAAATGGAGTTTGTCTTTTTACGGATATGACTGATTGGTTAAAATCAGATTTTGAAGATGATCCTGTTACTGAACCAAAACCAAAATCAATAGCTGCAACAGCAATGGCTATGATTAGAAAAGAAAAACAATTAGTAGCTGAAGCAACAGCTGCTATTGCTGAAAGTTCAAAACTAATTCAAAAAACAAAAACAACAACAACAACAACAATACAAAATGATGTTATTGAATCAATAGCAACGATTTCAGTTGATAATGCATTATCATCAAATGATATTGATGATGTACCTGAAATAAAAGTAGAACAAGAAGATGTAGCTGATGCACTTCAACAATTAAATGTTATTGATGATAAAATTAATAATAGTTATGATGATCTTAGTGATCTTATAGACAAAATTTAATTTTTCTTTCACTTAGACAAGCGTTTTTTTTTTCTTTTCTTCTCTTCTTTAGTGTGAATGGATATTGTGTTTTACAAAATAAACGTAGAATAAGAAATATACTTTAGAGTATTTCATCAATTAAAACTTGTTTATTCCTTTTTTTTGCTTCATTAATTGAATATAAAATATATATTCAGAAGAAATCTTAATCGATCATTAATGAAACTATAAAGTTGGAGATATTTAATAATGTTCCTGAAGATTTCAATCTCAGTAGTTCATTATAATTTTGTACTCCTAAGCTTGAATTGAATGTAAGTCTTCCTAGAAAAAAAAATTCAAGTCGACTGAGCACTCAAACGCTAATAACTTGATAAGATGAGTTACTTAGTTTTTGCTATGAAATATATATTGCAAACTTTTATTGAATAAATTAATCATTTTTTTTACATAGTGCTATAAATTTCTACATATAATAATTAGAAATTCAAATAATCTCTTGTGAGACTTTAACTATCCATTCGATTAGTCTTGCAATAGTCAAATGATTATAATATTCATTAAATATGGTACTCTTGTATCAGAGAAAAGGGACATCTCAGCTATGAAAGTCTTGAGAAAGTCAAACATTCAATGTTTGATCATCTTGTTGTTCACTTAAATAATGTTCCTACTCTAATCAATGACTTTTGTTTGACTATCTTCTATTGGAACATTTATATTGATAATGTTTCGTATTCTTGTGGTCAAGTGAAACTTTTACATGTACATTATAAAACTCTTGGAGTTGAATGGACCAGTTTACTGGTTATCAATTGCAATCGGTTGAATTTCAACAATCTTTAGCTATTTATCATTGCTCTTTTATTAATTTTTAAAGCACTTAAGCTTGTTTGTTTCTCTTGTTTTTATAGTTTTAACGATTTGGAAATATGAACTGGAAAGTTTACAACTGAGAATTTCGATTTTAAATTTTAAGATGGCACCTCTCATTCTACAATGATGATTTTGAAATATTTACGGAAATCCATGATTATCATCACGAAAAGTTGAACAGATGCTCGACGTTGAATTCGATTTGAACTCAAGATTTTTCTTGTCGAGCTTTCAACTGTATGTCCTTAACTCTCAATAGCTAATAAATTATTCTTCATGTTAATATTACTAAAATCTCGGAAACATGTATATGAATTTCATCTTAGATATCTTTTGTGGAGCTCTAGTAAAAAACTTATTTTAAAACGATATTTTTGATTAGGAGATCTATATATAACGGTCGTTTTTTCGCTGGTCAATTATCAAAGAATTCAACCAATCGATCCCATGCGATTAAAATAAACGTGTCCAATTTTAAGTCTAAGATAAAACAAATGAAAAAGAGAACAATATTCGAATGAGGCAGGAATTCGAAAAGGAACCATTGAACAAACATTACTATTGAATGAATATCTATTGAAATTTATTTTATGATTTCAATTTATATACAAAAAAAAAACCGTTCAAAGAATTATCAGTATGATGAGACATTGAAACAAATTTTGGAATATCAAATTCATCTGAGTCATTATTAGCAACGTATTATGTTCTTTTGCATTGGTATTCATTTGATTATGAGTTATATTTTTGTTTTCTTGAATTCCGTTGAGAAGCCACACGTTGGATATCTCTCTTAATGCTAATAGCATAGGGATGATTGGGTGACAATGTATGAGCATAAATCGTGGCTGCTTGTTTGAGATACGACAGTGCTTGTTGTAATTCACCAATATGTTCATATACATCACTAATATTCTTAAGTGTACTTGCAATCGAGGGATGTTGAGAAGGAAGAGACTTTGATTTGATTTCGAGTGAACGATTGTAATGTTGCAAGGCATAATTATATTGACCCAGAGAATAATGAACATTGGCGAGATTATTGTGTGTAGAACCCAAATAAGAATGATCAGCAGGAAGATACTTCTGCCAAATATTTAAAGCTTTTTTATGACAAATAAGTGCTTTCGAATATTTTTTCTCCTCATGATAGATATTACCCATGTTACTAAAACAAATAGCTAAATTCCGATGATCATCACCAAACGCTCCTTGATAAATAACTAATGCTTTCTTGTACGATTTTAGTGCCTGCTTGTATTTACCTTCACTGTTATAAGCCGAGCCAATACAATTGTGAGTGTCAGCAATATATGGATGATTTGATCCCAATGTTTGTTGAAAGATTTCGAGTGCTTGGTAATGATGATCGAGACTCAACTTATAACTGCCTTTGTTAAAAGCCACAATACCGAGTCCACTATGACAGGATGCAATCTCTTGATGATTATCAGGTAGTTCTTTGAGTAAACGGTAATAGTATTTTTCGGCATCATTAAATTTGCCCATGCCAATGAGTAAATTGCCAAATTGACCCAGATTTGGTTCTCCCGAACCAAAATACTCATTTTTCATATGATCACTAATTAGTTTCAAATCATGGTCATTGTTACTGCACAATTTCATTCGGATTTGCCACATCTGATCGCTTTCATAATGAATATCAATCAGCCGAAAAATTGATCCTATCATCATCAATACTTCCTCCTCGTCTGGATAGTAGCTGAGTGAAGTAATATTAGCAAATGGTTTGATGCCATCAAAACAAGGATCAGCATCAATTTCGAATAGTACTCGCTGCAAATCATCATTACCACTAGAGTCTCCAAGAAAAAAGAGAGCGACATCTCGATCGACAGTCGTAGAGAAGAATGAATTTATTGAAATGAATTTGCCAACTGAATTTTGTAGCACCTTCAATTCATCAGTTGACATTAATTGACCTCGATAGATATGAAGAGGTGATAGAGCTCGATGTTGTTCTAGTTGTCGTCCAATGTCATGAATAAAGAATCGAAAGAGAAAAAGTAATTCAATATTTTGTGTACGAAGAGCCTTGTTCAAGACACGATAGACAAACGATGGTCTTGAATACCATCTCAAGGCTTCATCGGATGAATAGTGTTGTTCAAATTCATGAACATTCCTCAATTCAGTGGTGTATTTTTTATATTGTTCTTTGCACAAAAAAACAAGTTCATTTTTGTCTGTTGGTGTCGATTTCATTCGAACGAGACAGTCGATCAGTAGTTGTGAATATAGAAACTGCCCATTGAGTCCAGTTGTTGTTTGTCCATGAGCAGTATCAGTACCGTTGAAAATGGTGAATATTAGCGATTCACTACTTTTATCATATGTTCCTTTCTCTTGATCGGATCGAATCTGAGCTACGAGATCATCCAACTGCACGATCACACGTTTGATCTAAAACAGTAAAGGTCATCACTAGTTTTGATGACTCCTGTAATCAGAGCTAGTCATAATAAAACGAAATGAACATGGAAAAAGTTATTGCCGTGTTGTTGCATCCAACTTTTCGAGCAAACTCTCAATTAATAAGAAAATGTTAACAACTGTTAGTACCTATTCAATATTCATTGCTGAGGGCCCCAATTCAAGTATGAAATATAATAGATGGGGCACTTTTATTCATTGTGAGCGAAGCGCATATAAATGATTTCAAAATATGGTTTTGGCCTCATTCGACAGAGAAGGAGTGTGGGGTGTGACAATGAATCTGTGAACTATCCTTTTACGCACACCCAGAATATCTTTCTGACCATTTGCTCGTAGTTCAGAGACAAAACCTATCGAAAACTACTCGTAGCATTAATGGAAACGGTTGGAACGCTTCCTGGGCGAATCGGTGCAGAAAGTACTGTTGGGTTTCCCAGAAACCCATGACAAAAAACCTGCTATTTTTTGCTTTGCTCGATGATGATTGCAGATATTGAAAAGCAGTTTGGGGTATGGGTGTGGATGTGAGTGATGGGGGTGTGTGTGGGTATGAGTGTGGGTAAAAAGATAGCCCACAGATCGAGTGTCACACCTCACGCCTACGCTCACATCCACATCCTTACAGTATGGAGCAATAATAAATCATTCTATTTCACATATAGTGGAGGTATGCAGAAATGTCATACGAAAGAGAATTTTGCGATGCTCTGAATGTTATCGCAGTTCTTTCCAAACGTCCGATGTGCTCGTTGAAAAGTGTTATAAACTCACAGTGCAAATTTCAATGCTTTTCCAGAAATATCGTTTTGCAAAACGAAAATATTCTTCGACCTATTCTTTCTTCATTGTCAGATGCAGAACTGAATTCTGAATAAAGTGCAATATGTATTTGTTTCAATTGATACAGTATAGACTTGTTTGAACAAAAGAATAACGATTGAAAAGATCTATTTCCAAGTCTGTTTCCAGTGTATCCTCATTTTATAGCTATCAAATTTTAAACAGTACATTAAAGCAATCATAATTGTACATAGAAATTTTTACTATGTTTGACAATTGAGTTAGATTATGTTTTGAGAGTGCTTCATAATTTTATTATTTTCATCTGCTCAAAAACTGGAGCAAGCATGTGTTAGTCTTTAGAATATTGCATAAACAAAGAAACCATATTTGAAAAAAATCATGTTCTCAGTTTTTCAGAAAATCACATTTTCTACAGAATAAAATCAGAATCAGTTTTCCTATGCTTTCATCACAATAAACAAAAAAATCTTTTTTTCTTCTACTTCACACATTATTATTTACTTTGTTGAATCGGATAGTCCACTGTTCATTTTGCGCTTTATCCATACAGTAGACATAAATTGATGAGATTTGCCGCAATTGATGTATACGAGGTACGATTATGTGACCCAAATGACCACTGACAACCAAGACAATGTGATCATATGGAGATACAGATCGAATATATTGTTCACACTGATCACTATCTGCGAATGTCTTCAAATCATTAATTGATCTTCGAAGTCGACGTTGAGCATAGACATTTTGTTGAGAATCATTGATTCTTGAATCGAGCCAGATGACCAAAGATGTTTCGAGATTCTCTTTGCTCGGTTTGGGTAATAATGCTCCCATTAATGTAGATTCTAGTTCTTATTGAATTTGCAAATTAGGTATTATCTAGGCGAAAGAATAACAGTGATATGTTTCACTCCTACTATAACTGATAGAGCTTTTTCCCAATTATATGAAATATAATTCTTCCAATGTTGCTTTGTACAACGAAATTGAAAGAAAACTATCGAGTATATAAAAATGAATGAGATCATTGGTATTATGACTATAACTTTTCTTTTTCTCAACATATTGAGACGATACTATTTCAATATACGCATATGAACACTATCGAGAAAAATACACGTTTTATTTTACTTTAAGGTGTCGAAGTTTAAAATTACACGAAACATACTATGAATTTTCTAAAGACTTCAACTTTTCGATCTATTTCTTAACATATGTAAAGTATGTTTCTTCTATGAGAGGTCCCCATCAATCATGATATTATAATATAAAGAATGTGTTTATTGAAATTCATTAAATGATACTGAAAGAAATCCTCTTGTTTCATGTAAAGCATCGAAATAAATAACGTTATCCAATATCTCCTAAAAAAATGCAACAAGCATTGAGCTGTGTAATATATAACAAAAACAATAGTAAAAGGCTTTGTTACTAGGGAGATACGACGATCTTATCTCATGATTTCATGCTTCTTTCCAAAAATTATGACTTTGGTTGGAAAGCATTAAAGTTAATAATAATGTCTGTTCCACCACTTGTATCGTTTCTAGTTGTAAACAGAGTAGAAGGCTGTCTCAGGCTACTAATTAGCTAGTTAGGTTTGTTTGTGACTTATCTTGAGAAAAGCAAAACTGTTCAGGAAGCACATCTAGGATTGAAAAATTGACAACCAGAACGGCTCTGTATATTTTTTTGTAGTGTTTTACTTCGGTATCTCTCGGTTGCCTCATGTGAGCTCAAACATAAATGAGACTTTCACTGCATAAGATAAATTTGCAAATAAATTTAAAAACAAAACCAAGCCAATATTTGTGCGTAGTGAAAATAAAAAAATAGCTTCAATTACAAATTATTATCGAGATAGAACTGTTCTATAGCCATGACAGGAACAGAGAAAAAAACTTATTAGAATAATAAATTATAATTGAGATAAAGCTGTCATATATCTGTAGTTAAATAGCAGAATAAAATTTATTAGAATTATAAATTATGAATGATATAGCGTTCTTCTATAAATGCGGAAGAATTTCAGAAAAAAAAGCATTTCAATTACAAGTTAATATTCAAATAGGAATGCTTCTTTCGATAGTGTATGTGAGTAGTGATGGAATCGGTTCGGTTCGAAATACAGCGTCAGTCTACCTATTGCATAAAGTTGCTTGAATAATTTTTGTACACCATCTACAAACTACAATTATTAATGAATAGTATATGTTGATATGGGATCAGCATAATTTTCGACAACTTTTATTTGTGGAATTTTTGCTTTTACTAAATTCATACATAATTTTTTGACGATAATATCAGTTCCTGAATGCTAAAATGAAATCCAAAAAAAAGTAATAAATAAAATAGTAAAGAGAAATGCTTGACATATTTACCAATATAATGCCTGACAGCGTATGATTGAAAGGGTAAATGAAATTGTCATGTTGGAATAATAATCACGGTTCTCTAGTGCCAAAACAAAGCGCGCCCTCCTAATAAATCAAAAAACAATCAAGAGCTTTTGTTATATTTACATTCTATTCATTCAAACCTTTATAAAGTGTGCTTCAATACGCAATCACTACTCTTATTCGTGGACATTCACACCCAGTTAAAACGCACGAGACCTAGATATACAGTCGTGACAATAATCGGTTAAACGGTAATTGCAATCCACCAATAAAGGGTAAGTGGAGGTGAAGGTTTTACCAATACTGACAATTGGATCTATCGAAAATCTGTATCAGTCAGTAAACGGTAATTACCAATGTTCACCCATAATCATCATAGTTATGAATTTCTATCGATACTCATTGATAATCACTAATATTTATTAGCAGGTGTGCGTGTGGATGTGAGGATGCGATTGTGACTGTGGGTAGATGTAGGCGTGCGTGTGAGTGTGGGTCTCGTTTAAGAGCATACTGACACCTCACCCACACGAAAACAGCGGACTTCAAGACTTCAAGAGACTTCATGTGACTTCACAAGACTTTAAGAAACTTCTGAGACTTCAAAACCGAAGTCTCAGTTGTTCCACTCTCGCCATACGCTAACCACACACCCATACCCGCGGACGAAAATCAAATAGATATCTTGTCCAATAACTTTTTACCTGCAGGTTATATTTATAGACCCGCTCTTGCAAAGCATTTTCTCCTTTTTCATACACATATAATGACATATCGATGGTGTTTTTTTTGGAAAATAATATGTCGAAAAAGAAGAGTAGTCGAAAGAAAAAAATGAATCGAAATTTGAAATAAGTGTCATAAAAATAGACAAAACCATACTATATACAAACACACAAGTAAGACAAAACAAAC